CTTTGAGCGGTCTAGAGGGTCTCTCGGGCCGTCTTGGGGTGATCTTGGAGGCCTCTTGGACCGCCTTGAAAGGGGTGAAAGACGAAGAGGCGGAATAGTAAAAAATGCACGCTTTCCTAAGGGAATGGGACGATTTTTGCTTGTGGGAGCCCTCTTGGGGCGCCGCTTAGGGACCTCTTGGGGCGTCTTGAAGGCCTGTTGGGCCGTCTTGAGGCCATCGCAGGCGTTTGGGAGTGATATTTCGGCGTCTCCCAGCTCTCTTGGACCGTCTGGAGGGCTTCTCGGGCCTCTCTTGGACCGTTTGGAGCCCTCCTGGGCTCCGAAAAGGGACCTTGCCGGGAGTCTGCCGGGAGTCTGCCGGGAGTCTGCCAGGACCTTGCCGGGACCTTGCCGGGGTATTTTTCGTCCGGGGACCCCCAGGGCCCGCCCCGCGCGCGCGAACTAGAAATATTGTTGAGCAGTTACCGGAGATCTTAGCACGCCTCTGGCCCGTTGGGCCGGCGAATTGCGGGGTTATGAAGGTTCAAGCAACCTGCATAGTAAGGATGGTGGAGTGTTCTAGGGTTACCCTTGCACCCTGGCCCCTTAGGCCCATCCCTGGAAACTTTCGCTGGCGAGTCCTCCTCGAAAAACGTCAACGTGGCTTTCCAAAGCTCTTGCATCCTCACCGTGCATCCTTACTCCACGGGTTGACTGTTTCGCATGTCCTGGGAAGTCCTGGGTGGTTTGCCTGGCTTAGTAGTCTTCCCAGGCAGTCTGACGCACCGCATTCGGGGCCGTCGCTTCGTGTCGCGGGTGCCGCTCATTCGTGGGCAGCGCTGTGCCACTCCCGACGAGCATTCATGTTCCACTACAAGATTCTAGGCCTCCTTGATGGGGTCCGAGTAGATGGGGTCGGAGGATCGCGCCGCATCGCCGATGCATCGACGAGAGGGCTCGATGTGGAGCCCGATTTTCCCCACGCCGACGTCGCGGATGCGTCGCCGATGTATCGCCGATGCATCGCCGATGCATCGCCGATGCATCGACGATGCATGCTGCATTGGCGATACGTCGCGAACCTTGGACCCCATTTTCTCGGACCCCATCTAGGATCCAGGAGGCCTCTAAAGATTGAGCAGATGTCAGATCCGAGTGTGTTGCAGATGGCCGTCTACGTCATGCGATGCTGACGTCCCGCGCGAGGCACGGACTCATCACAAGCGCGGTCACTTGTCCCATTCGGTGCAAGACAAGCGGCCTGGTTGTGGCGCAAAGATCGTTGACAATCACGTTCACGGATTCGGTTTTCGTGAGCGGGTGGTTTCGTTGCCAAGGGCAGGTCGCGCGATGATTGCAACAGTTTTGCGATCATCAAGCGGTCTCCTATTTGTTCACACGTCTGCCGGGGCAAAGCGCCTGCCGAATTCCCTTGTTACAGCGCGTAGGGATAACATCAATGCCGATGCATGTTCGGTCCGAGTGCGCATCCTGATGTCTTGCTTTTTTCTGCACGGGGCCCCTGGAAGTCCCGACCCCTTTTCCCGGGGCCCGATTTTCACCCGGAGTCGTTTTTCGACGGTCGCAGATGTCGCCCCAGGACCCGGCGAGAGCGAGCCCCCGCAGGGCCGCAAGCAGCCACACTTTGCCCGCCGTGATCCGCCACGGCGCGCGCACATCTGCGGGCATGCGCGTTCGGTCTGAGAGCGCAAGGCGCGGAGCCTGGGTTCCGCGCCTGCGGGGCCCGACTGTACGGGGCGTCGGCGACCGCGCCTGCCGCCCGCTGTGCCCGTCACAACAAGTAGACCCTGGACCTGGAAGTGGCTTCCATTCGCCGGGCACTGCGGGACACCCCGCCAGCGCGGCGCCTTCGAGTCGCCAGGGTCGCGTGGGCCCCCTCCTCAGCGGAGGAAGAGGTCCCTCTACCCCTACCCGGCCCTACCCTTCCCTCGTTTCCATCTGTTTGGGCTTCCCCTGCAAGACGCATGTAAAAATAACATATGCGTTTAGATGCGATCGCGCCCTGGTGCAGGTGAGAAGTCTATCGTATCGACTTTTCTGCAACGGCGACAAGCGAGATACGCATTTTAGATGCGCTCCCCGGGCCTGCACGGGAGCGCCGCCGTATCGAAACGTATGTATTTGTCAAGCGTATCCAGACAGTTGGGAGCGTATCGATTTCTCTTCAAGAGAACATATCTATTCGTATCTAATTTTCGAAGAATGACATTGCCGCGCCGTACCTATGTGTATCAAATGTTGTCAGAACGGATGCTGTTGGCTGTGCCCTCGGAACGAACAGGATCTACAAGACTGGCCGAAGCAATGAGCAATGGGATGGGGATCGTGGGAAACCGTAGCGATGAGGAGTGAGGGGACGCGCGACGACGACAAAAACGATGAGGAGTAGGATTCATAACAACGATGGAACGAGATTTAGAAGAGAACGGGGAAGGAACAGGAATCCGTAGGAGGGGGAACGCAAAGATGAGGAGGAGGCGGAGGACGACGACGAGGAGGATGTGTCAAATCGAAAGTGAAAGGGGGTGGTGCGGGCAATGAGAAGAGACAATGAGCACCGAGGAGGGCGGATGAGGAGGATCTAAGAGGAGTGTAGAGCGCGAGTGGTCGATCGCTGGCGTGCGCAGAGGACGCGAAGGACGATCGCAATGGCGGTAATGGGGATGACGAGGAAGAGCAGGAGGGTGACCATCGCGGGGGAGTGCCGAGGAGGTTGACGGAAATGGGGGGTAAAACACGGGACTCTTGAGGGCGAAATTGGGAGGAATACGGGGGCGTAAAACGAGGAGGAGGAGAAGGAGGAGGAGCAGGAGGAGAAATGTGAGGACGAATCAGAGGCGGGAGGTGGGATATGAAGTTCGATGACGGTGCATTAAGAATCATGATGTGGAGGCATGGGGATGAGTGGTTCGGACGGTGAGCGCGGACGAAGAGGAGGACGAGGGCGTGCGACGAGGAGGCAAGACAAGCGAGGTGGAGTAGGAGGGAACGTTGGGAGGATGACGTGGAGGAGGGGGGGCCAGGACGGATATGAAATAGAGCAACGATTGAAGAGAATGGTTTCTCTGCTTCGTCCTCCTCGTCGCTGTGATCGTTCGGCTCGCCCGCCGTCCCCCCTCACCCCATCGGTTCGTCACGATTTCCCACGACACTTCCTCCTCCTCCTCCTCATCATCATCATCCTTATCGTTGTCGTCCTGACTGGCATGTGCATTGTCTTCCCTGTTCGCTGTCAATGAGCAGACTCGGCGTGGCAGTGATATGGCGCCGTATCTGTTCGTATTTATTGTTGGTAGACATGTGTTCCAGCGATGGGTGCCAGATTGAACGGTATATAAGCATTTCTATTCATGTGTACAAATGTGTGTTTATGTATATATATATACATATGTACTCGTAGCTAAACAAGAGCCGTATCGATTATCCCAGTGCGACGTACCTAGGAGTTGGAGCATCTAGGAAAGCAACATCTACATCTACACCGACAGCTACATTAACATATACACCTGCATCGACATCTACACCAACATCACAACAGCGAGACTCACATCTACATCTACAGCCACACCTACATCTACACCTATCGTTGCATCTACATCTACATATACACCTACATCCACATCTACACCTACATCTACATCTACATCTACAATTTCGCATTGGTTTTGCGTTTGCTTTATATGCTATGATATGCTATGCTATGCTATGCTTGGCTATGCTATGCTATGCTGTGCTATGCTATGCTTGGCTATGGTATGCTATGCTATGCTATGCTAATGCTGCGCTGTGCTGCGCTGCGCTAAGGTAAGGTAAGTTATGCTAAAATAAGCTAAGCTAAGCTAAGCCAAGCCAAGCCAAGCTAAGCTAAGCTAAGCTAAGCCTAGCTAAGCTAAGCTAAGCTAAGCCTAGCTAAGCTAAAGCTAGGCTAGGCAAAGCGGGGGATCCTGGGGGAACCGCGGGGCGGATGCCGGGGGAACCGCCCGGGGCGTAGTCCACTGCCCGGCCCCTTGAACTCGTACGGTAAGAACCTTTCTAGGCAGAGCCTAGGTAGGGAAATATTAGTAAGAAAACCATATCCCGCATCTATTCGTATCTAAAAAAATCGGCACTCGTGTACAAACTTATCTATGTTTGAAAGATATCGGGTCGTGTCCAGTATTCTTAAGGAAAGCGCTGTCAAGCACATATGGTTCAGGGAAGAATGTTAGATACCGAAATGGACGTTTATATATGATCCCGGGCTCCGGGCCCACGGGCCCCCCCCCCCCCAGATGGTATGGTCCCAGGATTCCTCGGGCCCCCCCCCCTTTCCCCAGATGGGATGGGGGGGGGGAACGACGACGACGACGACGACGACGACGACGACGACGACGACGACTTCGACGACGTCGACGACGATGACGACGACGACGACGATGACGACGACGGCGGCGGCAGCGGCGGCGGCGACGACGAAGACGCCCGCTTCGGCTCCCTGAAGCACTGCAGCGCCACGCCACACCCAGAGGGAGGCGACGACGGGGAAACACCGTCTACGACGATGCTCCCCTCCTCCTTCTCCTCCACCCTCCGTCCGCTTCCCCTGCCCCTCTCCTCGTTCCCTGGCCTTCTCTTCCCTACCTTGCCCCCCCCTCCCACTTCCTCTCCCTGTGCATCCGCCACTCTCCGGAAGCAGAGGGCGACGACGATGGCGAAGACGCCGACGATGATGGATTGTCTCGGAGAGCGTCGGTAACTTTGAATTACCATGGCCTGCGCACAGACAGCAGGGCACGCGCCTAGGCCGTGCCAGCTCAGCGAAACTCGGGCCCATGTTCTCGCGCAAAAGTTCCGTGAGCCACCACGTAAACTTGCGCGCCTGTAAAACTCGCAGAGAACGAGGAAATGAGGAGCAGGGGGGAATGGAAACTGACAGCGTGCATAAGACTTACAAAAGCAGCCACGCAGCACAAGCGCACAATCGCACAAGAGCACAGGAACATAAAATCAGCAGCATCAGCCTAGGCAGTGCGGCTCGCCGGGCGCTTCTTGACGCCAGACGTCTTGGCGATCATGCGGCGCCTCTTGGTGGGGCGGGCGTCGGTGGCCGAGTGGTCGTCGGCGGCGTCGTCTGCCTGGGCGTCCTTCGGGTCCTGGAACAGCAGGTCGTAGTGGTTGGGCGACAGCAGTACGCGTAGCGGGGGCGCCCCAACCTCACCGCCGTCCCCATCGCTGGCCTCGCCGTCTTCCTCCCACGACTTGGTGAGGAGGTTTTTGATATCCTCCGTCCTGCGGTACACGATCGTGGGCACGCCCGTGAGCCTCGCGAATGCCGCCACGTTGAAGAAAGTCGCGAAGGTGTAGGGCTTCTTCTGGTACTCGAAATACGCGTCCATGTCGAAGTCGGATGAGTCCTGCACAGCGTGGGACTCCATCCACGTGGGGTCCTCCTCCATCTCCCTCATGATCTGCGCGCGCAAGAGCCTCTTCCGCTTGGGCGGCGACTCGTGGTACCACTTCTTGGCGTACTCGATAACCTGAGGCTTCGAATGTTGCCGAGGCCCACCGTCGATCTTCATCTCTCTTCCGTCCTCTCCCTTCCTCCTGCTCCTCTTCCTCCTCCTCCTCCTCCTCCTCCTCTCCCCCCTCCGCCCTGTGCGTGGGCTTTGGGCCCCAATGGCCCTGAGGCGCAAAGCCATGCTCTCCTGGCCGTCATCCAAGAACACGCCTGTCATCCTGACGCTAGCCGACTGGTAGAAGCAGGCGCCGTCGGGCTCGACTGCGAAGATCCGCCACTTCTCCCCGTCTGCCCCAAGCCACACCGTTGCGCAGGAGCCCAGCACGCACGGCTGGCTCGAGTCGTTCCACTTCCCGCGCTCGCTCTGCTTGTCGGGCTGCACGGCTTTCGGCATGAGTTTCAGCTGCGCTTCGTGCTTGGTCGAGACGACGCCTGTGCCGATTTCTTCCACTTCCACCAAGCCGCCATTGACCTTTCGCACCAGGTATTCCCGACGCTCGCCGCCAGCGTGCTGGAACTTCGCGTCCCCGGCCTTGGACACTTACTGCGTGTTGAGGCAAATGACCCTGTCGCCCGACACGAGCGTGTAGGCGCCCTTGGCGTTCGCTTTCTTTTCCCGCTTAAGGCGTTGACTGAGCTGTTGACGGCGCCTCACGTCCGCGATGGCATCGCGCACTCCCTGCAACTTCCCGTCGACCTCGTCGCAAATGCTCGTGGATCCGCGCCCTCGCCCATGATCTTCTGGTGTTGCTCCAGGAAGGTCTCCCACTCCGCATCCGTCATGGGCTGCTTGCCGTGGACGAGCGCCTTAGTGCCCGCGTGCTGCCACCTGCTGGTTGTAGGGCGGAGGACGCGCCAGATCGTCTCCGGCGTGGGCTGGTTGTGCGTGCCCGGGCAATTGTTGAAGGCAATCACTGCAGACACCAAGCGGTCCCGCTGGCCACCATGCATGAAATCCAGGATACGGTTGTGCACTTCGACCAGTCCGTTGGACTGTGGGTGGCCTGGGGGGATGTGCCTCGCCTTGACGCCGAACGCCTCGTGCATGGCATCCTCGACGACGTTTCTGAACTGGCCCCGTTGTCTGTCCACCCCACGGACATGAGGTCCTGGCTCTGCGCGAAGCGGAGCATGATGGACTGCACGTGCTGGAGGCTGATCTTGTCCTGGTCCAGATCCCACGCGAACGCCTTGTTGCTGGCGAAGTCGACCGCCAGCAGCATCACCCAGGGGTGACCTTTGAGCGGGGTAATCTTCTTCAGGTCCCAGCCGACCACCTCTCCGGAGGAGTTCGGCCTTGGCAAGTGCCTCGGCTGCGAGTCGGCGGTGCCCCGCGTGCTCCGTGCACGACATTCCTGCGAGGGGGCGAGGGCCCCTCCTCCTACTCCCCTTTCTTCCCCCTCCTCTTCCCCCTCCTCCTCTTCCTCCTCCCCCCCTTTTCCTCCCCCTCCTCCTGCTCCTCCTCCTCCTCCTCCTCCTCCTCCTCCTCCTCCTCCTCCTCCTCCTCCTCATCGGCATCACCGTTGTGATCGCCGTCCACCTCCTCCTGCTCCTGCTGCTCGTGCTGCTGCTGCTGCTTGCGCTGCTCTTCCTCCTCCTCCTCCTCCTCTTCCTCGTAGGTCCTCGCAACGCAGGACGAAGAATGTAGCGTCGTGCACGAGGTGAGGCCAGACTCTGTCTCCGAGCTCCTCCTTGAGGACGCCGACGATGCCGTCGCGGCCGCGCAGGTGGCTCAAGTCAGTGTGAGCAGCGTCGAGGTGCTTGAGCTTCTCGGCGGCCGTGAACTCCGACTTGGACTGGCCAGGGTCGCTGAGCCACCATTCTTGCCGGCCCCGCAGGGCGATGCAGGCCTGGTAGGACTGCAGGCACTCGGAGGGCAACGCCGTCTCGTCAGCCTGCATGATCCACCGCATGGCCTCATCCTTCGTCTTGCGCTCCCACGTGGGGAGCTCGGCGTCCAGGTTCCTCTTCCAGCCCGCGTTGTGGTCAACCACGTTGTCCTTGCCCTTCTGCTGGGACTTCTTCAGCGCGGCGGCGCAGCAATCCTTGCACTTCCGGTTGTCCTTCGGGTTGGTCCGCTGGGCGGGCGTGAACTGGCCGGCGTGCTTCTCGCGCTTGCAGGAGCAGCAGACGTGGAAGGCGACCGTGTTCGCCACGGCGTTTCCGTGCGTGCATGCCATGCACTTAGCGCTTTCCTCCGCGCGTCTCTGGGTGGGCGTGAACATGTCCCTCGCCTTCGTGGAGCCACACTGCTTACACGTCCACTCTGTCTTCAGACGGCGCAGCTGCGCCTCGTCCAGGGGCTTGCAAACCTTGCAGGCGCGGTCGGCGTCGTCAGCAGCCCACTGGGTGCCGTAGAAGCCATCCTTGGGGAATTGCTTATGGCACAATGAGCATGACCTGTGGCAGGGGGTGGATTTCTGCGGAAGGCGAGCTTGCAAGGCGACGTCGATCATCGCCTGGATGTCCCCGACGCACACGAACTGCCCAGGCGCTGCCGCGTGGCCGCCTTCGCCTGGCGCCTGGACGGCCCCAGACGACGCTGGCTGTTGAGACGCCTCCGGGGCGGCGCCCTGGGGCGGCGCGTGGTCGCCCTGAGGTGGGTTGCCGCCATCGCCTGGCGCCAGATGACGCGGGCTGTTGAGGCGCTTTAGGGGCGGCGCCCTGGGACGGCACCTGCTGGCTCTCAGCCGCGTTGGCAGGCAGTTGGGCGACCTTCTGGCTGACCGCGGCTGCGGGCTTGGAGGAGGAGGCGGCTGGGTCCGCCGCAATGGCGGCATGCCCGCGGACCTTTTGGAATGCTTTCTTGATCGTCCGGCTGGCATACGAGTCAGGCCTCGCGTGGGCCTTCGTCATCTTCGGAGGCAACTCTTGCAGCCCCATCTGGAACGAGTAACCGGCAGGGTCTTCGAAGAATTGGCAGCAGAGCTTCCAATCCTGGCCTGACCGGTCCGCCGCGGCCTTCTACTCGATGGAAGCAGACGCAGAGGCGACCGTGGCACCCTGAATGTGGACCGTCTGCTTGAGCACCATCTTGAAGAAGGCCGCCTCGTTCAAGGTCGCCCCCGGCGTATTGTGGACCAGCTCTGTCACTGTCCCCTTGCCCGCCTTCACATTCATGGAGCCTGGCACACGCCCCTGCTGGGTTGCCTTCAGCGAGCGGTCGTCCCCCTTGAAGTGGGCGGTCATGGCTCGAGCAGCCCACAGTGCTTGGCTGGATGCCAGCGACTCTGGAATGACCAGCCATGCTTGGTAGTTGTTGGGGCTTGTGCGAACGAGGGCCCGTGGCTTCAGACTCAGCACCTCCGTGAGGTCCTTGTTATGGGTCGTGAAGTCGTCCAAATCAAGGAAGACAAGGTTGCCCAGCAACGGCCTCACGAACACATGCACATTGTGCGTGCCCAGGAAGGTCTTCAACGCAGCGCGCAGCTTGTTAGTGGCCATTGCGGGGGTGTTCGTGATGCAATGCTTCTGCTTGTCCAGGACTGTGAAGTGCCATGCAGCGGCTTCAGGGAAGCACTCCAGGAATGTCAGTGCTGCTGCGAGGTTCGTCATCCTGGAGAGGTCTCTCGGTGCAATACTTGGGCCTGTAAACGGCACTGGTGCGATCAGGTCGAGGACCAGGACAAGGAGGAGGGCGAGGAGCAGCAGCAGGGCAGCAAGAGGAGAAGGAGGAATATGAGGAGCTTCAGCAGAGCAGCAGGATGATGAGGGGCAGCAGTAGGAAGATGAGGAGAAGCAACAGCAGCAGCAGGGAGGTCATCATCATCAGCATCGCCGTCGTCGTACAACTCATCACCATCGTCATCATCATTTTCATGATCAGCATCATCACCATCATCAGCATCATCGTCGTCATAAGCATCACCTTCGCCAGCATCATCGTCATCATCATCAGCATCATCATCGTTTTCATCATCATCATCATCATCACCATCAACATCAACATCATCATCACCATCATTATCATCCTCGTTGTCGTCTTCAGCATCGTCGTCGTCACTACCCTCCGTAGCGGCATCATCAGCAGCAGCATCGTCATCATCATCATTATCGTCGTCATCGTCATCGGTATCATCATCAGGGTGGCGGGGTAGAAGGGAGGATGAGGATGAGCAACAGCAGCAGGGAAGAGCAACAGCAGCAGGGAGGAGATAGAAGAGGGATCCTCATCCTCCTCCTCCTCCTCCTCCTTCTCCGCCTCCCGTAGGGGCTCGCAGTGCCGGCTCTTCTGTGCCGAGTGGCCTGAAACTGCGCACCCTTCTCGGACACTAGGGCGGAGCAGGAAGAGGAGGAGCATGAGGAGCTGCGCCAGAGCAGCAAGAGGAGGGGGAGGAAGATGAGGAGCAGCAGAGGAGCAGGAAGATGAGGAGCAGCAGCATGGGGATGAGGAGAAGTACCAGCAGCAGCAGCAGCTCATCATCATCATCATCATCATCATCATCATCATCATCATCATCATCATCATCATCATCATCATCATCATCATCATCATCGTCATCATCATCATCACCATCACCATCACCATCACCATCATCATCATCATCAACAACAACATCATCATCATCGTCGTCATTACCATAATCAGCAGAGTCATCAACTTCATCGTCGTCGTCAACGTCATCCTCCCCTCTCCGCATGCCCTCTTGCCGCCTCCTAAGCTTTCTTTTTTTCGTGCAGAGGGTCCCCAGCGCAAGCGGCCTCAACCACAGCGCGTTGCCCAAGAACGCAGGGCAAACCAAGGACACACAGAAACACCACAACTGTTGCGCGCACCGGCACGCCACGAACGCTACGTGACAACGGAGGGCCGCATGTCTAAGGACGAAACAGAGCCAAAAAAAACAAACAAAAAAAATGGCGTTAGCTTCCCCTAATTAGGCACACTGAAAATAAGGCAGTTTTCGTCGTGCCGAGGACGCAATCGTTCCGCCCCAGCTTTTAACCTGCGGGCGGACGCCAGATTGAGCGCGCACTTGACTTCATCGGAAGAGGCCAGCCCAAACTGATTACGGCTGTTATGCACGATTACAGATTGGCACCTCCCCTCCGTCAAGTGTAGCAGTTTTACGTCATGCCTGGGACGGCGATGCATATGCCGATGTCGATGCCGATGCTGACGCTGTCGTCGTCGTCGCCGGCGCCCGTGCCGCCGTCGTCGTCGTCGTCGACGTCGTCTTCGTCGTCGTCGTCGTCGTCGTCGTCGTCGTCGGTGTCGTCCACAGGGGGGCCACCACCCCCACAGGGGGAGGGCCACCACGCCACGCCCACAGGGGGGGGGGGGGCATCGGGGGGGCGGGGGGGGGCGGGGGGCCCGATGGCATTAGCATTGTGGGGGGGGGGGCCCAAGCCCTGGACCATATATGTCTTCCAGGGTCCTGGGGGGTCCTCGTCGCCATTGCTGGATTCGCCTTCAAATTGTTGACGCTTCGCGTATCCCCACCAGCCCATCCAGAAACGATGCTCAGGGGAGTTGAGGTGATCAGGGAAGTCGGGGAGCATACAGAATAACAAAGGGCGGGGGAAGCTGTCACAGACCCCGAGAGGGGGAGGATGGAAGAGGAGTCGTCGTCGTCGTCGTCGGAGGAGGAGGAGGAGGGGGAAGAGGAGGAGGAGGAGGAGGAGGAGGACGGAGAAGGAGGAAGAATCGGAGGAGGAGGAGGAGGAGGGGAAGGAGCTTCTTGGGGGTCTTTTGAGGGCCTCTTGGAGGGCTTTTTGGGCGCCTTGGGGCATCTTGGGCGCCTCTTGGGACCCTCTTGAGGCGCTCTGGGGAGCCTTCGGGGCGCTTTTGGGGCCATCTTGGAGGGAGTCGATCAAACAAGAGGGGGGGTTTAATTAGCGTCCCCCCTCGGAAGCCCCTAAAATCGCCTCTTGGACCCCTCTTGGAACGCTCTTGGAGTGCTCTTGGGCGCTCTTGGGGCCGTCTTGGGGCTCTTTTGGGGCTCTCTTGGGGCCCTCTTGGGCCATCTTGGAGCCATCTCCAGGCCTCGGATGGCCATCGGAAGCGAAAAGGCGAGAAAGCAAAAATCATTGATTTTCCTTAGGTTTTGGGACGATTTTGGCCTCTTCGGGGCCTCCTTGGGGAGCTGTTTGGCCACTTGGAGTTATCTTGGGGCCGTCTTTGGGCTTCTTGGAACCATCTTAGGAGCCATCGTGAGCGATCTTGCGCTATCTTGAGCCATCTTGGAGCTCATCTTGGGTTCTCTGAGGCGCTCTTGGAGCCGTCTTGGGCCATCTTGGACGCTCTAACTACCCGCGGCCCCCCCCGTCCAGGTCCAGGGGAGGGGGTAGGGGGAGGGGTAAACCCCTCCCCAAGGGGGAAGAGGGAGGGGTGGAAGAGGATCTGCTCTAGACCACCTACGCCCAGAGGGCTGGTGGGATTCTGGCCAAAACGCACCCCGGGAGAGGACTGGGGACTATCGGCATCCGTACCAAATAATTTCCGCAACCCCCGCGCCCCCTCCCAGGGTCCATCTTGGTCCGGCCGATCGGGTTCGATATGGAATCTGGCCGATCCGATCCGGCTCGATTCCGCAATCCCGGCGATGCGATGCTGCCCGAGGTTCAGGGGAGTTCAAGGTATCGATACCGCTATCCTTGCCCCGCGTTTCCCTTTTTGCGGCCTCCTCGGATGCCCTCGTCGTCACGGCTGGATTCGCCTCGAGCTTCTTGTCAGAACGAATCCCTTGCGAGGTTTGGGGGTGGCGGTATTTACATTTTTGGTTTGAAAAGAACGCTTGAGTGGCCGAGTTGTGCATCCTGGCGCGGCCTGACCCGGGCCCGGCGCACACTCTGATCCGATCCGATTTCCCGAGTCGATATTGATTGATCAGGGGCAAAGTTCGAGGGGCGCTGGTTCAGAGGCGGACGCATCGACTCCGAATCGCCCATTTCTCGCCGG